GCCATTGCTACCACAAGGAGTACACTTGCTAAAAAAGGTTGAAAACCCCTGACCTTCTGTTAAAGCCTGTTAAAATTAATTCTTTAGAAAGGCTTATCAAAAGATCTTAAGGTATAATGTGACCAATGTTCTTGTTACCTCTCATAGCCTGCGACCTTACAGTATGTTCTTACAGGTGGAGAAGGTGAAGTCCTGACATCTTAATTAGCTTTGATATTACCAGTTACCATATGCTGATGAAGCTGCTTTGTCATTTGGACTATAAATGCAGAAGGGGCAATGGAACAAGGATGTATTTTTCTAGGGTACTTAACACTGGGTAGAAATAAACTGTTCAGTGTTAATAAACAAAGCATATTGTCTGAGAATGCCAACAAACTTACAAGGCAGGCAAGGATTTTTGTGGGTGATATATTTTAGTGGACCAGCTGCAAAACATTCTTTTCAGGTCTCAAATGTATACAAACTTATACCAATATCTGAAATTTCCACTTACCTGCAAACTTGATGTGGAATTTATTTTCAGGTTTTAGTATTTGGACATACAACGGACAATTTGGAGCAAAGTCTTTAACTGCCCATGCTCTTAAAATTGTTTGATGATCCTAGAATAAAATAGGAAATACAGTATGATATTAATGGTATACCAGTAAACCTTTCATTATACCAAAAGAGAGAGAGTGAGAGAGAGATCAGTTCTTCTGTCAAACGGCTCAACTGCTGATTCCTTTCCTGACAAGTCAGTTTCAAATGATATAATGACTCTATGGCTGGTCTGACATTTAGTTTTCCATGGCTATCTGATATATTTAATCACTTACATGGTTTCTATCATTATAAGCATCTGCACGCCAGCAATTACCGTAAATGGAGAGAAGCAATTACTGGAGATTACAGCACAGCAAAAAATACACACGTCACTTAAAACTGTAATATTTTCGAAGCAAAAGGCTATATTTATTATAAAATTGGGTATTATTTTATGTTATAAATAATTTTTCTTGTTTATTTCTTCACACTTATACAAATTGGAACCTGTTCTAGATATATATGTGGAGGGACATGGGAGAAAACATGCTGTACCCATACCAAGTTGTCCCTTTACTTAACTCTTTCTGAAAGCTATTCCTTTTTGATTATGGGTCCCTTGGAGTTATCAGGTTTTGAATTGCTTGTTTTACTTGATGATAATGTTTCCTTATTATTTTACTGCTGTGTCCTTCAATTACATGTCTTCCATTACAGTTACTCAATGTGTTAGCTCCAAGGAGAAGTATTTTCATTAAATACTATTGTAAGTTATCTTGACAGTGCTATGTAAAAATAATGTTAAAATAAGAGAAAATTAATATTTTAAATTATGCCCTATATGTTAAGGGAACCCAAGGATCTTTGTAGGACCTTTAATTTTTTGAGTTAGGAAGAAAATATTTGGACCTTAATTTCAGATCTATCCTGTCCATTATTAGATTATTTTTGCCTCTAAAAATAGGGTAAAATTTACCAATTACTAGATCATAAAACCTTATTCTTACTTAAGGGGTATATTTTTAATTATCTCCTAGTAAGTGCATATGATGACTTTATTTTTTCACCAGTGTTAGGATTGGTTTACTGTAGACGGGTAAAAATGAATCATTATATGACAGTGATCAACTAGTTGTGACTCTGACCTATTCATTTTTATAATTTCTAACAATGGGGTTTCATTAAATATATACATTATTTGTAAAGAAGCTGCAATGTTGGGTTTGGAGTGTGAGTTAAACTTCATTTAAATAATATTAGCCTTTTTTACCAAAGTCATTTGTTTTGAACATACGTGTCAAAACACATTGTTCCAATGACTTTCGAGGTTGATACAAAGAACTGAAAGCTAAGACATTTTAGGTTTTGTATCTTTGATTTGTTTTGTTGTATTTGTTTTTTCAATGATTTAACTTTATTCCTCAAATAGGATTAATTTAAATTATTTCAGATAGTAGTGATAAACAGAGCATGCTAAATATTCCTGTTAAAACACAGCCTTTTGTGGACTCCTAACTTTTGACTCATAAGGAATGAGGAGAATTGATGATAAGAATGAAACAGAACATGAATTAATCCCAAAGATTATCAGTCACATCTAAGAGTCTTTTCATGAAACTATGAGCAATTGCAGAGTTGAATGTAGCATTCAGTGATTATTGCCCATGGAATCCCAATACAATTCCAGGATAACTATTTTTGTAACTATTTTAACACTAAACAGTTCACAGCTAGAAATCTTTTATTATTTCACATCATTAAAAATTGTTAATATTCATATATTACATTCATGTATTACATTTCAATACATTACTTTTGAAAGAAATATCTATTTTCATTTATTTCAAAACTGAAAATAGCAATTAAGAGGAAACATCACTGCTGCTCAAAATGCTTTTCTTGGTCATAAAATTGGTGCTGTTAGAACAGAGGATAGAGTGATTCATTATGCTTTCAGTCTCAGCAATAAAGAAAGCTTTCAGCCTCTTGAATATAAGGAGAAATTTCTGCCAGAAATAATACATAACTGACATTTTTTAATCACAACAATGTAATGTCAACTGAGGTGGTAGTAAATCTTTTTTTTGAGTAATAGAATGGTGTAGTAAAAGGCAGACATCCTGTAGGTAGTTTTGCAGATTTGTTTTAAAATATTTTTGTTCAGTTAACTCGTTCATGAAGTTATAAAAATGGTTGTTCTTCAAGAATCTTCCTGCAAGTCCTTTTAATTTTTTTTTACCTGCTCAGTAAATCCCCACGTCAGCAATTGTCAGCACTATATTGCAAACATTCCTTTAGCTTGCAAATACATCCAGCAGGCATAGTTAATTCCTTTTCCAATAGGAGGTAACCTGCCATGCCAGGTATGGTCTGTGTTCTTAATGCTTTGTCCCTTGTGAGATTTAAATTCTAAACTTTTTCATTTAGAGTGGAGAGTTGGCTCTGCAACCAACCAAATGAGTACCTGTATTTCAAAGTTCTGCATGGGTGTTCTCATTAGCAAGAATTTTGACTTTCAGACTGAACTGATTCACGGAATTGGAGTAGTGACTAAGAATTTCAGGCTATTACAGAAGTGTGCATGTAATAACAGCAAGCTATCAGCTAAGATGAAGATGCAATTTCCTGTGGGCAACTTCCAGAAACAAGTACTGGAGAGTCCAAACAAGTATTGGGGAGCTCTGCTCTTTTTGACCTGATGCTCACAGATAGAAAACAATTGTTGGGGAATGTAGTAGCTAATAACAACTTAGGCCGTAGTGACCATGAGATTGCCTGAGTTCAGGAGCCTGAGGAAAGGAAGAAAGAAGAGCAACAGAGTATGGATCCTGGACTTCAGAACAGCAGACTTTGACTCACTCAGAGAACTCATGGGCAGAATCCCCTGGGAGGCCAGTCTGAGGGGGAAAAGAGTCCAGGAGAGCTGGTTGTACTTTAAAGAAACCACACTGAGGATGCAGGAACAAACCATCTTGATGCATAGGTACAGTAGAAGACCAGCTTCGTTTATTTTCTGCCATATCGTCAGTGAGCTAAAAACACAAAAAGGAAGCTTATAAGAAGTGGAAACTTGGACAAACAACTAGAGGGGAGTATAAGAGTATTGCTTGTGCAGGAAGGTATGAAATAAGGAAGACTAAAGCACAATTGGAGTTGCAGCTAGCAAGGGATGTGAATGGTAAGAAGAAGAATTTCTACAAGCATGTCAGCAACAAGAGGAAGAAGATCCAGGAAAGTGTGGGTCCTTTACTAAATGGGGGAAGCAACCTAGTGACAGATTAAGTAGAAAAGGCTCAATGCCTATTTTGCCTCAGTCTTCACAGGCAAGGTGAGCTCCCAGACTGCTGCATGTGGAAGCACAGTTTGGGGAGGAGTTGAGCAGCCAACAGTGGCAAAGGAACAGGTTAGAGATTAATTATTTAGAAAAGTTGGATGTGTATGAGTCCATGGGTCTGGATGGGATGTGCCTGAAAGTGTTGTGGGAATTGGCGAATGCAATAGAAGAGCGATTGACAATCATCTTTGAAAACTCATGGCAATCAGAAGAGGTCCTGAATGATTGGAAAAGGGAAAATCTCATGCCAATCTTTAAGAAAGGGAAAAATGAGAATCCAGGTAGCTACAGACCAGTCATCCTCACCTCTGTCCCTGAAAAAATCATAGAGCAGGTCCTCAAAGAATGCATTTCTCAGCACTTGGAGGAGGAGGTGATGAGGATGCTTCTGGAGTACTGCTTCTGGGTTTGGTCCTCCACTACAGAAAGAATGAAGAGAAATTTGAGACAGTCCAGCAGAGGAGAATGAAAATGGTTAGAGGGAACTGGACTTATTCAGTGTGAAGAAGAGAAGACTGAGGGAAGATTTAATGGCAGCCTTCAACTACCTGAAGGGTGATTCCAAAGAGGATGGAGCTAGACTGTTGTCAGTGGTGGCAGATGACAGAACAAGGAGAAATGCCTTCAAGTTGCAGCAAAAGGAGCTGGGGTTAGATATTAGTAAGAACTTTCTTACTAGGAGGGTAGTAAAACACTGGAACAGGTTACCCAGAGAAGTAGTGGATGCTCCATCCATGAAGGTTTTTAAGACCCAGCTAGACTAAGCTTTGGCTGGGATGATTTAGTTGGGGCTGGTCCTTCTTTGAGCAAAGGGTTGGATTAGATGACCACCTGAGGTCCTGTCCAATCCTAATTTTCTATGGATCTACACAAATCTAAAGACTTGTGTGCTGTCATCCCTGCTTTATGGTTCACAGATAGGGACTACATATGCTAGGCATATCAAGAGTCTGAACAGCTTCAACGTGAAATGTCTGCCTAAAATCCTGAAAATAAAGTGGGAAGACCGATACCAAACACAGAGGTACTGGAGCATGAGAGACTGACACAGTTAGAAACCACTTTCAAGAAGAGGAGGTAATGATGGATCAATTCTGTCAAGAAAATGGGAGAAGACCATATCCTGAAGAATAGTTTGTATAGTGAGATTTGAGACAGCCTCTATGGTGGTACCATGAAGTGTGCAAAATGATATAAAGTTGTTCAACGTTAACTTAGAAAGCTGGGAGAAGCACACAAATTCCGTCTGTTCTGAAGGGACTATCTGGCAGTGGGTGCAGCTCAACATGAAGTGGCTTTGATCCAGAGGATGGAAGCAAAATGACAAAGAAGAAAGAAGTGTGCTATAAATTTGGACTCCAACTCAGACAACATATGGATCTGTGAAACTTGTAATAAGCGGTGTTACTCTTGAATAAGAGTAAGCGGTGTTACTCTTGTGGGCTTGTCAGCCACAAATGGATTCATCAGGAATCTGACTAGACCTCTTACATGTACACCATGATCCAGAGGATTGACAGTTGCCTACATATATAGGCCATTTTGCAATGCAGGATGTGGAAGAGGTTGGGAGGTGGATGTAGGCCAGGAGTAGAAAATCCACTTTGTACTAGATCCATTAGCTAATTTTTTTGTAGAGGAACAAGGCAACCACCAAAAGGGATTACATAGCCTTCAGGTTTCCTTTGCAGGTGCTGTGTACACTTCTCCAAATAAAGTTTTAATGCATCAGCATTATTCTCA